CTAACACAGACACAACCTGCAGACAGAACTGAGGGACTCCAATACATAACAACCTGCAGACAGAACTGAGGGACTCTAACACATAAACAACCTGCAGACAGAACTGAGGGACTCTAAAGAAGACACAACCTGCAGACAGAACTGAGGGTCTTAACACAGAAACAACCTGCAGACCTAACTGAGGGACTCTAACACATAAACAACCTGCAGACAGAACTGAGGGTCTCTAACACAGAGACATCTGTACGACCCGAACAGACAAAGATGTTTATATATTTATATTAGTGCTGGGCAAGTTAACGCGTTATTATTGCGTTAACGCATTAATTAATTAACGGCGACAATTATTTTATAGCGCGTTAACGCATTTTTTTTATTTTGAAAGTCCATTGCTCACTGGCAGCGGTGGAGGAATGGAGACTACTGGACATCGCTGCGGTAAAGTCAGCAGACACTCAGATCTCCGTGGTCAACTCAGCAGACACTTACATGTTAGTGCACCTATATGCTGAAATTCACCGTAAACGTATTCAAACGGCACAGATCGGGAGCGAGCGAAGGACTTTGAAAGTTAGCGGAAAGATTAACGTGAGACAACATCCGGTTTCTTCAGACGAACATCCGGTTTTCAGAATAAGATGCCAACAAAGTATGAATTATATTCACATTAAGTATAAAACATGCTACCTGCATCTCGTGAGTTAAAGGGAAAATACACCTAAATTGTGGGTAAAGTGTGTTTATTCTTTGATCGCTGGGTCACCATCATCACCTCTGAGTTACAGCATCATAGTGATGAAGAGTAGAGCTGCATCACATGCTCTGACTGTCATGAAGACACAACACACACATGTAGATGAAACGTGCTGAAACATGTTATTCATGTTGCACAGCAGTGGAACGTTTCAGATACAGTCACACACTGAGCACAGATAGTGAAGAGATAGAACTGCTGCTGTGTAAAGGGAATACTGCTGTTAACAAGAACCTGATGTGTTTAAAGTGTTTAAACCAAATGTTATTGACCTTTGTTCATATAGCAGTACTTTCAAAATAAAAGTGCGCAATACACTACTTTTGAATTCATTATTGAACTTTGCCATAACAATGAGATTAATTGCGATTAAAAATTTGAATCGTTGCCCAGCACTAATTTATATATATATTATTAATCTGTACTAAGATATATATATATATATATATATATTAGGGGTGTAACGGTTCACAAATTTCACAGTTCGGTTCGGTACGATACAGTGGAGCCATGGTTCGGTACGTTTTGGTACGTTTTCAATACAGTAGAAAACTATAAATGCCAGAGAAACGTACTTGATTTTAAAATATATTTATTCATTAAAACTAACATGATAAAGTTATTTTTTGACTTTGAACAATGATGGAACTATACCTGAGTGACCCATCTTCTGGGGTGTCTTCTTAGCAACATATAAGCATAAAAAACAAAAGCTGCTCCTTCAGTGGTCAGGTGATGTGCGTTACAGTCGGGCGATGAGCGTTAGTCGGGCGATGAGCGTTACAGTCGGGCGATGCGCGTTACAGTCGGGCGATGAGCGTTACAGTCGGGCGATGCGCGTTACAGTCGGGCGATGAGCGTTAGTCGGGCGATGAGCGTTACAGTCGGGCGATGCGCGTTACAGTCGGGCGATGAGCGTTAGTCGGGCAATGAGCGTTACAGTCGGGCGATGAGCGTTACAGTCGGGCGATGCGCATTACATTTGATTCTCCACTCGTGCTTTCCTTTTCTTGAATTACGGTTTGGCTGAAATGGGCTCGTGAAGGAATTGCGTAATGGGGCTCAATAACATTCAGCAGGTTCATGAAGCTGCGTTTACCACTACAGAGTCCGGTCTCATGTCCGCGGCTATAAATGTACCAATCGCCGTGGTGATGGCTTTAGCCCTGTTCTATCGGTAGTGAACAGCTTCTTAAATGCTTCGGGGAGAGTTTGAAGCATGTGTGCTGCTCCAGGTTTTCGTTTAGTTCCACCCACTGCCCGTGGGGTGATGTCGGCGTAAACGGGTTAACATGTTTGAGGTATTCACACCGATGTAGCCTACACTCGTGTAGCAAATGCGACATACCGTTGTTTTTCTATCCACCACTCTCTCGCCATCGCCTTCATAGTTCACAGAGAAACCAAAATGGCTCCAAACACCAGACCTGCAGGCCGTTGGAGGATCTTCTATTTCTGGTCTATTACTAGCCATACTGCACCGAGCTAGCTCCGTGTAGCCGCTACACTGTAGCGTGTCTCACAGCGCAAAAGTGCCCGACTGGAGTAGAACGTTTTTCTCTGGTGGTGGGCGTGTCAGAGAGCACGCTGTCCGTTACGTCATGTGGGTTGCCAGTTTGAGAACAGTGGCTCCACCAAAAACATAATATTTCCCACAATTTAGCTTCTGCTAGTATTATTCAAACATATTGTTCGGTTCATCATGCGTACTGAACCGCGAGCCTCGTCCCAAAGGTTCAATACTAATACGCGTATCGTTACACCCCTAAATATATATATATATTAGTGCTGGGCAAGTTAACGCGTTAATATCGTGTTAACGCTTTCATTAATTAACACCGACAATTATTTTATTGTGCATTAATGCAGTTTTTTAAAATTATTAAGCAGACATTTTTAACACAAGAACCGGGCAGCGAGCAGTGAACAGCTGTGTTTGTGTGGCGTCACTTCCTGCTGCTGCTGGAACCCCCCTCACTCTGTCACCGTCGGTCCCTCCTCTCTCTCACACACACACACACACACACACACGCACGCGCAATCATCTCGTTACAGGATCAATCGTGACAATATCAAAACACATATTGTGGTGTTTTTAAATGAACATATAAGCATGAGAGAACAAACTGCTCTTAACTCAACTCTTTATTAGCATAACTTCCTCATGCAGGTTACTGCCATGGTACAGACTACAGGTTCCATGCTTCACCTACATTCCCCTGGGTCCTAAATCCCTCCACGTACAGCTTCTTATCACCCTCTATGTACCAACGTACATTTATAACAAATACCACACATATTACGGTAATCAGCGTTGCATACGTGTCTGACCACAATACCAAAAAAATAAATGATTCATTTAAATTATTGTTTTAGAGTTTTTAAAGTGTTTTGTTTGTAATATGTATAATAAGCATCATTTAGTATCACTACTGAGAACACCATCCAACCAGTGCTGCTGAGTGAGAGGCTGAGGGTGGTGGGGGTTAACGGGTCCACCGTCTCCTGGATCACTGACTACCTCACAGGCAGACCACAGTTTGTCCGACTGGGCCGTGTGCTGTCTGATACGGTGGTCAGTGATACTGGAGCCCCACAGGGAACTGTTCTGTCTCCCTTCCTGTTCACCTTGTACACCACTGACTTCCAGTACAACTCAGGGTTCATGCCATCTGCAGAAGTTCTCTGATGACTGCAGTGGTCGGGTGTATAAGGGACGGACGGGAGGAGGAGTACAGGACAGTAGTGGGTGACTTTGTAGAGTGGGCCGGTAGAAATCACCTGCGTCTGAACATGGCCAAGACCAGAGAGATGGTGGTCGACTTCAGGAGGAAGACGACGGCTCCACAACCGCTGAGAGTTCTGGGAGAGGATGTGGACATGGTGGAGCAGCATTGGAGCCGGAGACACCAACAGACTTAACAAACTGGATAAGAAGGCCGGCTTCATCATTGGCTGCAAACAATTCTATCTGGAAGAGGTGGTGGAGAGGAGGACACTGAAGAAACTATTGTCCATATTGGATAACCCGGACCACCCTCTCCACCACCTACTGCAGGGACAGCGGAGCACTTTCTCCAACAGACTGATTCAGCTCCGCTGTCACAAGGACCAATACAGGAAAACATTCCTGCCCTCTGCCATTAGACTCTATAATAAATCACCTCTGGCCAAATCAAACACAAGACTATAACACTGCTACACTGTTGTTGCTGCTGCTGGTGATCTTGTGCAGTTTATTTTTTCCTACTCAGTTAATTTAATACGATTCTATTTAGTGTATATACTGTGCATTTTTATTACTTTATTTTCTTAAATTTAATAGGTCCTGCTCTGTTATTTTATTATATTGTATATATTGTGCATTTTCCATACTTAATATTTCTATTTTATTGTGTAACCCTGTTTGCTGCTGCCACAGACAAATTTCCCCTTGGGGATGAATAAAGTATATTTCTATTCTATTCTATTCTATTCTAATTTAACAAACATAAAAACATGACGTAGATAGGTTTGCAGTTTTCAAGGTGTATATTGAAATATCATCTCTTCCACACATAAAGATAAAGATGTGAACACCGGCTGAATATCTATGATCAGAATCATTATAACTGTGTTATAACTGCTGCTGTGTAAAGGGAACACTGCTGCTAACAAGAACCTGATGTGTTTAAAGTGTTTAAACCAAATGTTATTGACCTTTAGTTCATATAGCAGCACTTTAAAATAAAAGTGCACAATACACTACTTTTGAATTCATTATTGAACTTTGTGCATAATAACGAGATTAATCGCGATTAAATATTGTAATCGTTGGCCAGTACGAAAAAATAAATAAATATATATACACATATACTATATACTGATACACATATAATACACTACTGTCATCTACTGTCTCTGTCTGTCTGTCTCTCTCTGTCTGTCTGTCTGTCTGTCTGTCTGTCTCTCTCTGTCTGTCTGTCTGTCTGTCTGTCTGTATCTCTCTGTCTGTCTGTCTGTCTGTCTCTCTCTCTGTCTGTCTCTGTATATATATATTTTGAGGTTTTTGTACATTACTTGAGTATTTCTTGAGGACTAAACGAGTACTAGAATATGTTGTAAAAGTATTTATTTATATATTTAGAGTCAAAGTATTTTAATCATTTTATGTTATTCCGTCCACATTAAGGTGTGTGACGTCATCACGCAGGACGTCTGACGGGCTCGAGGATTCCTAAGGATTACCCATAATGCCCCGCGGGTAAAGATGGCGACAGCTGAGCCGAGCAGCAGATAAACTTTATCGGCTGTGAGTGACCGTTAGACACCATAGAAGAAGAAGAAGAAGAAGAAGAAGAAGAAGAAGACTCGGTGCGTCTCCTCCGGATGTTGATCTCCTCCTTAGACCGGAGCTCCGGCTAAAGTTTAGTCTGCTCTCCGCGCTGACTCACAGGTAAGCGTTGTAGTTCTGTTTGTTGTTCGGTGAACTGGGCCACAGTCAGACCCGCAGCAGGTCTGTCCCGGATTAGTGTTCAGGCCCAGTTCGGCCCGCTGTGTCCGTCGTGTCTGTCCGCCGTCAGCCTGTGAGACCGCTCTGAGGGCTGCACTTTCCGCCCGATGTTTTTACTGGGGAACTGTCTCGTGTGTGTGTTTTACAGATTCCTGTAGGACACGCCCTCATCACACCCACCTGCCTCTAACAGCCAATCACAAGGCGGGATTACATCCTGGGCAAAGTGACCCAGTTCTCAGGGAGTCCAAGACCCTCAGAGCCCCTTGGAGACATTTAGAGACCCATAGGAACCCTCAGGGACCCTAAGACACCCCCAGGGACCCCAAATAATAGAATATATATTTTTGTAAACCAAATCAACCAGTTTAATGAGTGAAGTTCTGGACTTTTGTTAACCAGTTGTGAAAGAACAGACGTGGATCAGAAGAACTCTACTTTAGTGAGTCCAGACCTGGTCTCGTTGTCCTCCAGCGTCTCTTCTTGTGTTTTATTTTAACACAAATGTTTCGTGTTCGCTCATTAAAGTCTTTATTTGTTGTTCACCAGACTCCATGTTGTTTTTAGACAGACACAGACAGGTGAACTCTTCATCAGTAGACAGGTCAATTCTTCATCAGTAGACAGGTGAACTCTTCATCAGTAGACAGGTGAACTCTTCCACCTGAAATCATTCATGGGTTGGTCACATATTTAAGCTCACCTGTCCTCCAGGTAACTGTTCTCAGGTGTTCATTCACAGCTCTTATCAGGTGAACTCTGCTGATACACAGTTCAGATGTGTCAAGTTGTAAGAGGTCAAAGTTCAACACACCTGAGGGGGGCTGGGTACTGGTCTCACTGGAGTTCAGTACCTGTAATAACCTGTAATACTATGTAAACATTTAACAGGGAGAGCACTTTAAGGCTCAGGTGTGTTCAGGTGTGTTCAGTTTAGTGCTGGGCGGTATACCGGTTCAATTTCCCGTATAAGATATAAATTTTTCATATCGGTCATATATCGTCATACTGGTGCACAGAAACAACTGCTGTCGCTCTTCAACAGGCAGCAGAATATATTGTTGGCCGCTATGAGCGCTACAGTCGGAGCTAGTTGTCTTAAGTGTGTTGAGAGGGAACCCTAGTCATGGTTATAACTTTATAACAATTAATAACCTACAACTAACGCTCTGTAACAACAAAACACCACGACACAACAGTTTGTGACACAAACAATTTGTAACACTAATAATTGTACATTTATAAAATGTCCCCGCCGAACTGCATGCTGGGTAAAGCTAGCTAACAGTCTGCTAACAGCTGGGAGAGGCTCTGTCGCTCCAGTAACGTTACATTAAAGAACAGAACAGAGCGATACAGGATGAACACAAACTGAACAACAAAAGGTATTTAGGTCAGACACATATGCAACACTGATTACCGTAATATGTGTGGTATTTGTTATAAATGTATGTTGGTACATAGAGGGTGATAAGCTGTACTTGGAGGGGCTTAGGACCCAGGGGAATGTAGGTGAAGGAAACAGGAAGTGACAGAACGGAAGACACGCCACACAAACGCCGCTCACTGGCCGGTTGGCCAGATGGTTCTTTTCGGCGTTAATCAAATACCGTGATATACCGTGAATCTTACAAAATACCGTGATATGCATTTTTGGTCATACCGCCCAGCACTAGTTCGGCTGTGTTCGGCTGTGTGTGTAGTTGTGTGTGTAGTTGTGTTCGGCTGCGTTCACGTGTGTGTAGTTGTGCACACTGTTAACGTTTAAAACATTCACTGTTCTTTTTATTTCGTATTCCATTATTTTTTTGTTACATATTTGAAGTAATTAAAAACATCAAATTAAGCTAAAGGATTGTCTCTGTTCATCTTCATCAACATGAATCTCATTACTTTACTTTATTACTTTATGACTGTATGAGTATAATTATTAAACCTGTGAGATAAACATATCATTTGTTTTCATGCTGCATCACTTTAAATGTTGCCACCACAAGGAATTGTGGGTCGGAATTATCTCCTTTCCTTTGATAAAGGAAGGTCCAGTGTTTCCTATGCTAAAGGAGCTAGGAAAGGAAGGTCCAGTGTTTCCTACGCTAAAGGAGCTAGGAAAGGAAGGTCCAGTGTTTCCTATGCTAAAGGAGATAGGAAAGGAAGCATTGAAGCACCTTTCCTTAGCATCTAGATGATTCTAACAGCTGTTATCATGAAGCACTCTTAGAGACTTCAGGTCACTCACTGAGGAACCTTCTGAAGAAGAAAGGAATGTTAGACCTCAGCCTCGGTCTCTTCAGTGTGTTGGTCCGTCTCTCTATCCGGTCTGACTTCCTGTGTGGCCCGTTGGTTCCTCCTGAAGACCTGTGCTGTAGTGAGTATGTTGTGGATGTAGATTGATGTGTTTTTAATTAAGATATCAGGCTGTGATACAGACACAAGACTTATTAAATGTCTGTGATTGTGACGCATGTGGAGGATATAATCGATATATAATAATAATATGATCCCTCACACTGACTCCTATAGAGCTGTGTTGTTACTAGGAAACAGTCTGAGTCTGTGTTGTCTTTGTGATTTCAGCAAACAGTGACAGGAAGTGAGGTCGTTCTGCTGTCAGGGAATCTGACTCTTGTTTGATGTGGACTGATCCAGACTCTGCCGGTCTGGACTCTGTCAGTCTGGTTTTATGAGACAGAGCTGATGAAAGACATTAGTGAAATGTGTGTTTGGAGAGTTAATGAAGTGTGTGTGTGTGTGTGTGTGTGTGTGTGCGCGTCAGTCAGTCAGTCAGTCAGTCAGTGGAAATTTGAGCTGTGTTCACCTGCTTGGGTGTGTGTTTCAGTCTCGGATGAAGTCTGTTTGGTTTCTATTTCCATGAGTTTGGTTTCATGTTCAGGTGAGTCTTGTCATATGAGCTCAGCTTATCAAGAACCTGTGAAGTGAAGTTAACTTCAGACTAAAGCTGCGTCCCACGTCCAGATCCTGATTCTCAGCACAGACAGAAAAAAAAAAAAAAAAGTCATCAGCCACTTAAGGATTTCAGTAGTCACCCCAAAAAGGAAAGAAGTCGCTCAGAGAAGGTTGGTATAGTCGCCCCAGAGATGGACGCTGGTCGCCCCAGAGATTGACGCTCGTCGCCCCAGAGATGGAGGGTAGTCTTCTAGAGGTCGGTAATTATCCCCCTTGATGACAGTAGCTGATCTTTATTAGCATGACGGAGTAAAAAACCACAGCAATCAGAGCAGAGCTCTAAACAACAATAACATAATAAAACCTTTTCATGTCTTTGATAAGAACATGACTGAACATGAAGCTGAAGGTGAGAGGATGAAGAGCACTTAATGTTCACATGGTTTTATTCTCAGAAGGTCCACATTTGTATTTTATTAAAGTGAAGTCGTCTCGTTGCGTTTGCTTCAGTGGAGCAGAAATGTTCTGAGTCTACTGATTCACCTCACCTTCAGACCTTCAGACCAGGTCAACTGTCTCCTTACAGCTGGGAAGAGGAAGGGAAGGACGGCATGATGGAAAGGAGGAGTAGAAATAACCGAAAAAGTAATGAAAAGAAAGCACAGGACAGGAGGCAATGACTGATGTAAGGAAATAAAAACTACGTGAGGAAACATGAGATTATAGTAAATATCAAGCAGAAAGAGGAGGTAGGGGACACAAAAGTAAATGAGCAGGAGGGAACAAAAAGAGGCAGTGAAGGAAAGAAGGAGGTAGTGTGCAGGAAATAAAAGGAGGAAGAGAGGGAAACGGCAAAATGGAGCACATGAAGACAACAAAGTGGAAGAGAAGGAAACACAAAGAGGACATGGACAGAAGAGGAGAGAAGAAAACAAAGAAAGTAAGGTGGCAGGGAAGGAAGCATGGAAACAGTGAGGAGAGGAGGTGAAGTTGACAAAAATAATTGAGGAAAAATGAACTTTTGTGATGGTGAAGATCAGAAAACAGCAAATGTTTATGTTTTATTCATGCATTGGACAAAGGAGACGTCAGTGTGTCCTTGACGCGTCCTCTCCTCTAACATGCTGCTACTTTAATTATTATATAATATAACTCATCAATGAATCATTTAAACGCCACAGATCCACCTCAACGTCTCCGACAATAGAGAAGGGGGTTCTGGGTAATGTGTTCTGTCCGACCGGCAGCCCACAATGCATCTGGGCTGACGGACCTCAGAGAATAAAATCCTGAATGAGTCATAAAACATTTTTATCAGTCGGCTAATTTTTAGAAAATCAATTCATTAATTATCAAAATAACTTTTTCTGCCGACTAACTTATTGAATATTTCTAATAGTGTGTGTGTGTGTGTGTGTGTGGGGGGGGGGGGGGGGGGGGGGGG